TTGTGAAAAGTTTGTCAAGATTTAGTCATATATTCAAATTTGTTCTTACATTTTCATCAATTTCATTGAATTTGGGAATGTGAAGGTTTAATAGTTTTATAAGTTTCTATTTTACAACTTTATTGGCTAGTTATTATATCTTAATTCATTGAGAAATGTAGGGAGATTGGTAGCAATGAAAAATCTATCATTACAAATATCTATAAACTTTTGCGAAGGAAAAAATTAATAAAATTGAAAGAATATTAATATATAATTCAATTTATTTTAATGCCTTTTATGTGTGCCACTTTTATATACAAATTCGAAATAATAAGCTGTCATAAATAATTTAATTGCAATTATCTAATGTAATATAAAATTTATTAATGAATTAAAATAATTTATTATTAAATTAATTTTGATAATTTAAATTTTAAAAAAATTAGAAATATGAATATAGAACTTATACAAATTAAATATCATGCCCAGTTATAAGATGCCCATAACTACCGAGTAGGCCTAAAAACAAGTAAAATAGTAACAATTATGAATAGTGAATTATTGGTTTTGTTCGAATAAATAATTATTCTATTCGAATATTAGACCTTCGATTAATTAGTTTTATTTGAATTGAATAATTTGAATTATTTAGATAATTAATGTTTTTCAATTTAAATTTCTATTGATTAACCTACCAATTTAATTGGCAGCGTCACTAAGAAAGGGGGGGGGTGCACGAGACTCTAGCCCTCTAGAAAATTTGAATAGCCCCTTTAAAATTTTGATTTTTTTTTCTATAACTAAAATAAGCTAATTTTGAAAATATTTTTTGAGCCCCATGAGATTGCAAAGGCTAGTGATGTCCCTGAATTACTGATATGGTTAACAAGGTATACATAAACTGCAGAAAGGCCTTTTTAGTTAGAAATAATTTGCTGTCATAAATCTCATGTCTTATAAAGAAGAAACAATAAGAAAAATTATTTGCCTTAAAAATTGGTTCGGCATTATAAATTTAAATTAATATGCATTAAATACGTTGATCGCATGTTCTTTATTATAAGAATTTTTTCTATTTAAAATTAGAAATGAAAATCTGGCAATATATTTGTATGAATTATTTTATAATATCTAAAAAAAAAGAATAATTTGAATCGAAACATAGAGTAACTATTTGTCCTATTCGATTCATATTCGCTTTTGAATAAGCCTAACTGAGTAATATATTTTTTAATCCCCCCCCCCCCTTCCAAAAAAAACAAGTTATGACCTTTTGAAAAGAAATTCTGCAATTTGTTAAAACTATTATACAGGCAAAGCTATAATTTTAAAAAATATGCATTTCTTTATTCAGAAATTAGATACAATGCTATATGACATGACTAAGGAAGGGAGCTAAAGTTAGTTTATGAAATGGTAAGGGTTGAATTTATTAATAAAAATTTGATATAGTTCGCCCGAAGCAGCCATTAGTATCTGTTTGATTTATCATATTTAAGTAGCAGATAAGGCGTAATACGGACCAAGATATATACGAAATAAGGCTAAATAATATTTACTAATATATGATTCTGTTTTATTTATTTCACCCAAACTAAGATAAAATAAAAGATGGCTAAGCAAGTGTTTTATTTAGAATGCTTGGTAATCTTGTTCATATATTATTAGTTATAATTATAAAAAATAATGTCCTAATGAGAATTGTGTTAAATCATATTATTGTAATGGCCTTCTTTCAAGTTAATGACCTGCCTGGCCATAGTATTTAAGTAATATAAACATAGCCAAATGCAAGGAAAGAGAGAAGCTTTCTTTAATAAGAAAAATATTTATCAAAATTTCCCCCTTATATAATTTATCTTGATTTTTAAAAGAAGATCCCATCTCCCTTGTAGCGGTTTAGAAATTAGGAGAAATATATAAATGTTATCGATATCTTACAAAATTGTCTTAAATAAATTTCGGCAAAATGAGTTTTCAAATTTAAAAAAAATGATGTAAAGTCTAAAAATTGTACATTATTGAGCGCGTTTTTAAATTCTAATTCAAATCTCAGAATTTGTTAATGCACTTTTGAGTCATTGCTTTGATACACTGGGATCTGTATAAACATCCCACAGGGTGAGAAATTTTTTAAAAATATAAGAAAGGGTTGGGCGCTGCACAATAGGCCGGGTAAGTCGTACATAGATAAAATTCAGGACAGAAAGAATCATTAGTTATAAGAAATCTGGTCGGCCAAGTTTGACAATTTATATTTTTTTTACAATTGATGTGGTTTTAGCTAGTGTTGTTAAAAGGCTAAGCCGAGTCGACTTAGCTGCGACTCGAGTCTAGTTTCTAGTCGATAAAACGGCTTTGACTCGAGTCGACTCGCTGGGTTTGCTCAATTTTTTTGCTTTTTTATAAAATCTGGTAAATTAAATTTTGGGTTACTGATTAATGAATACAAAATTATAATAAGAATATTCATGTCGTAACTAAAAATGGCTCAGGATCCGAATTCAGCTTCAAGGATTGTATACCTAATTTTATAACATAAAATATAATTTACATTGTAAAGATGTTAAATTAAAATTTTAGTGAAGATGTACCATAGATAAGTGACAATTGTCATAATCGTTGTTTTTAAAGTTTTTCGAATTTTTTTGACGTAAATGGGCTAAAATAAGCATTGCTAACGTGTTTAAATAAAATTTTAGTGAAGATGTACCCTAGATAAGTGACAATTGTCATAATCATTGTTTTTAAAGTTTTTTGAATAATTACATAAAAGTTCGAAATGGATGCAAGAGTTTATAAAAATTAGTGGTACACGAATTCCAATGGATGTGGTAACTAGATGGAATAGCAAATTTAAATGTTATCTAGTATTAATAAAGTATTATAATAATATTTAATGTTCGATAATATTTTATTTTATATAGCACATCCAGGCTATCAAGGATTTGGGGAAGAAAATTTTTGGATAAGAAAATTTTAATTTAACTATTGATGATTGTGAATTTTTGAAGCATCTCGAAATATTTTTATATCCATTTTATAAAATTACATGCGAAATATGTATAGAAAAGTCCTCTACAATTGGAATGGCCATTCTATATATAGATAAAATTTATAGAACGTTAGATAGGCATGATGCTTATCATCAAATTGAGGCTATTAAAATGGCCTCGATGAAGATGCTAGATAAATGCACTGTTTTATTAATACAATTGGATACTATGAAAGATTGAAGAATTTATGTACGTATCAAGCATCTTCTTCTCAGCAATACGATTTCGAGGAGACCGAATCTATTTGATGTCGGTAAATATTTTGAATGAGTTGAGAAGGTAAATATAGAAATTAATCCTAATTATTTATATATCATTCATATTTTATATTAAGAGATGCCTATATTGTGCCTGATCCTGCTTTAGAAGAGATTGAGGATTATTTGGCGGATCCAATGGCAAAGACAACAGTGGATGTTCTTAGCTGGTGGTCTGGAAATGCCAAGAGATTTCCTAAATTATAGAATATGGCTAGAGATTATTTAGGGCAACAAACAACATCTGTTGCCAGCGAAAGATTATTTTCTAGAGCTGCCGATACCTTGACGAACAAACGAGATAGAATGTCCTCTTCAACTCTTAAACAATGCCTCTCGCTAAATTCATGGGACATAAATATATTAAATTTTAAGGAAGACCTTTGGAAATAATTTTTTAGCATATTTTATTTATACATTATTATAATATAAAGTGTAGGTTACCTTATTTATTTTTTTTTTAAATTTATAAATTAGTTTTATCAAAGTCAGATATGATTTTTTAACTAAGAGGCATGTATAACATTTTAATAAATTTTGGTCGGTATTTAGCAAATTTGGTTGGTATGTAGAAAATTGCAATACGTTGACTTGATAGTGACTATCATTAACCTGATAATCAAAGATTTAATAAAAATTTGAGGATTATTGTTTTAGCGAGCCGATGGTAAAAATTTGGCAGCTCAGTGATGGGTAGGGAGATAAAACTAGGCATGTTGTTTCTTTTTCTCTTATGAAGAATCTGCTGTAATGTATCATCTTTAACTTGTTTCATAATTAAAATGATAACGATAAAGTTTGAAATGAAATCAATTTTGAACTTAAAAAAATGTTAAGTTAGGAAATTATTAAGATAATGGGTAGTAATAATTTGGAATATTATGATTTTAACCTAAAAAACAGGAATAAAAATCTAATTCTTTCTTTATATTTTTTAGAGTGCTATTATCTTGATATTCAGCCAAAATTTAAAACTGTATAGAAGTTAGTAAAATATAAAAATATGCAAGAAAATTTCCCAAAAAAGAAACCATAGTAGAGTTATTTCTTTCATCGAAGATATAAAATTAGGGATTATTTGTAAATTCCTTTATTTTTCAACTTAATGCTTTAAAATTTTATTAAATGTTTTTTAAATTTATTAACTATAATTTTTAATACTTGTTTTTAGGTTTGAATTCAATAGTAATAACTAGTTAAATTTTACACACCTTCAAAAAACCTGATTAGAGATTTATATATACTTGCTTATTTTAGTTTTTAATACTATTTTTTATTAAATCTTAGGAATATAAACCACAACCTATTTGAATAATCTGACAATAATTATATACTATAATTATTTTGGTATTTCCTCAAGTTGAAACTATGGTTGTTAAATCACTTAATTTGGTTTAACTTTAATATGCCCTATTACAAGCATTTCGCCTAAAAAAATGACTTAAACTTCTACGTTTAGACTCAATACCACTATATTATATAATAAATAACTTTCATGATGTATAAAAAATTATTTTAAAATAAAGTAAAATAAATAATTTTTTTTTAAAAAAAAAGATATTAAACATGATAATAGGAGTGAAGTCTTAAATATTTCATAATTCATACATTTTTTTTAAAAAAAGGTAAATTTATATCAAAATTTTCGATTCTTCTAAATTTTCGACAAGTGAAAAAGATATTATTCATGATTAGGAGTAAAGGCTTAAATATTTCATAAATTTATTTTTTTTAAAAGTAAATTTATATCAAAATTTTCAATTCTTCTATATTTTCGACAGGCGTGAAAGGTTCAAAAAATTTGTTGATATCACTATCTTTTACCTCTGCCAGCGTCGAGGGCTTCCATTTAGGCTTATTGTCTTTATCCACCAATACTTTGTTACATATTAATTATATAAAATTAATAATTGCTTCTAAGCCATTAACTCATTTATTACGAGTGACTTCACTGAGGTTGAACCTAATAAATTTATTCGAGCAAAATGTGTTCATAAGAACTCGCCTTAAATTGAGAAAATTGATTTTTTAACGAAGCCATTGATTTAAACTCAAAATGTTATTATTTAAGTTTTGATTGTCTATTTATATAACATCCAGTAGGGTGATAGATGCTACATTTTAAAAAAATCGAAAAGATATTGGAAATTTAATCATGTGAAGGAAATCAAATTTATTGTTTAAGAAATTCAATTGCCAATTTATTTAAAGCATCCTATCTCAGTCCTTTCCAAGAAATAGGAGAGAGAAAATTAAGGTAATAAATGAGTTTAAAGGGACTATGAATTAGATTCTTTAGGAATGTGAGATAATAAAGTACTATGATTTGAACTTGATATAAAATTCCTATAGTATCGCTAAAAAACATTTTTGTATAATTATTAAGAATACATATTAATTCCTCAGCTTCAACTAATGATCAATCAAAAATTAATAAATTTTTTGTAGGGCTGCACCGACTTTTTGCCGATAATGGTCTGGTTATAAATAAGTATATTTTGAAATTGGCACAAGATGACAGATATTTTTTAATACATAACCATCTTACAGATATATCTTAAGGATGGGTTGGTATCTACATTATGTTTTTGATGACAAAACCGATCCAATTCTGAACAAATTTTAAATCATCCGATTATAAACGCTTTAAAATATAGAAGTTGTGATGTTATATCGATATTCCAAGATGTTTATGCATAAAAAATTAGCTGACAATCTCGTGCCTGATGAGGTCATTTCAATATCTGTGAAAATATCGTACAACCCTAATTTCTTGTTAAATTAATTTTTTTTACCAGCTCTGACCCCTTCAATAAAATCGTTGTGCCTCAAAAGACGGCAGGAGAGTCTATATTCGTGAATCAAGCACGCGTTTAAATCCCAATTACCGTTTGTGCTATCACATAAGAGTTTAAATGTCAACTTTTTTTAAATATATATAGTAAATATAAGAAAAATAAGTAAATAATATAAGGAATTTTTATTCGTATTTTTTGTGGGTATAGAGTTTTAGGCATTAGCTTGGTAAACTCATTTGAATTAATATAAGGGAAAAATTTTATTCTATATACTTTTTATTATTGTAGAAATGAAGTAGAACAAAAAATACTTTTATAAAGTTAATTTCCTCATTGTTTTTGAAAAAGGATGATATAGCTCATTTTTTAAAAATGTTAATATTTAATATACTTAAATGTAGTGTTGTAAACAAGTTCGTTTTTTTGAAAAAAGGTGATGAACGGCGTTCCTTTTTTTTGACGAACTTTGAACGTGAACGCGTTCCTTTTCTTTGATGAACGCGTTCAATTTTACGTTCGTTCAATTTTAAAAACACTTTTTACTTTTATTTACTTGAAAAATTAATATTAATCCGCATTTTTTAACAAAAAAGTCTTATATTTTTATTTATTTGAAAAATTAATATTTAATCCAATTTTTTAACAAAAAAGTCTTATATTTTTTAATCAGCTGTTTTTACTTTTTCCTCTTTCATATTGCAATTAGCAACGTACCATAACGTGCTACTGCTAGAGAAGATAAGATTAAAGTTTATTAATTTGAATATTTTATATTTTAATCTAATAGATTAGCATTTGCATGGATATAAATATTTCATCATCAGATTCCGAAAATCAAAATTCAATATTAGATGAATTAGAATTACCATGGCCCAAATATCAAAAATATTTCACTGTTTTAAAATCAAAAGGTAATTCAATAGTTACCAATTGTAAAATGTGTCCAAAAAGTATTATTTCAGTGTCAACATCTTCAAGCTTCAATTTAAAAAGACATCTGATTGTAACATTAATTATTTTATATTATATAATATGTATAACTATATAGCCAGTTAATAATTTATTTTAATTGTTCTAAGTAAAAATAATTACATAATATTAGTGCTGTAAACATTTTTAAAAAAATCGAACGCGTTCGCGTTCAAGGTTCATTGACAAAAATCGAACGCGTTCACGTTCACGTTCAAAAAAAGGAACGTTCAAAATTTTATGATAAATTTTTTTTTAAATTTAATTTAATATAAATAAATGCCTTATATTTTTCAACACAATATATTAGCCATGATAAAAAAATAATAGTTTTATTTTGATAATATAATTATTAATACAATATAATAGAGCGATAAAAAAATAAATTTATAAATTTATTTTCTTAAATACTAATATTAAAATGCCTTATTATAATTAACTATATATATATATTATGTAATTATTTTTACTTAGAACAATTAAAATAAATTATTAAATGGCTATATAGTTATACATATTATATAATATAAAATAATTAATGTTACAATCAGATGTCTTTTTAAATTGGAGCTTGAAGATGTTGACACTGATATAATACTTTTTGGACACATTTAATATTTGGTAACTATTGAATTACCTTTTGATTTTAAAACAGTGAAATATTTTTGATATTTGGGCCATGGTAATTCTAATTCATCTAATATTGAATTTTGATTTTCAGAATCTGATGATGAAATATTTATATCCATGCAAATGCTAATCTATTAAATTAAAATATAAAATATTCAAATTAATAAACTTTAATCTTATCTTCTCTAGCAGTAGCACGTTATGGTACGTTGTTAATTGCAATATGAAAGAGGAAAAAGTAAAAACAGCTGATTAAAAAATATGACTTTTTTGTTAAAAAATTGGATTAAATATTAATTTTTCAAATAAATAAAAATATAAGACTTTTTTGTTAAAAAATGCGGATTAATATAAATTTTTCAAATAAATAAAAATAAAAAGTGTTTTTAAAATTGAACGAACGTAAAATTGAACGCGTTCATCAAAGAAAAGGAACGCGTTCACGTTCAAAGTTCGTCAAAAAAAAGGAACGCCGTTCATCACCTTTTTTCAAAAAAACGAACTTCGTTCACGAAAGCGTTCATTTACAACACTACATAATATATATATATATAGTTAATTATAATAAGGCATTTTAATATTAGTATTTAAGAAAATAAATTTATAAATTTATTTTTTTATCGCTCTATTATATTGTATTTATAATTATATTATCAAAATAAAACTATTATTTTTTTATCATGGCTAATATATTGTGTTGAAAAATATAAGGCATTTATTTATATTAAATTTAATTTTAAAAAAAATTTATCATAAAATTTTGAACGCATGAACGCGTTCATGAACTTGAACGCGTTCCTTTTTTTGAATTTGAACGTGAACGCGTTCGATTTTTTTAAAAATGTTTACAGCACTACTTAAATGTATTTAAAAAAATATCTTTGCTTTAGGCTTGGCCTGGTTTATACAAAAAAGAAGTATATACTTTTAATGTGAACGCGTTCGATTTTTTTAAAAATGTTTACAGCACTACTTAAATGTATTTAAAAAAATATCTTTGCTTTAGGCTTGGCCTGGTTTATACAAAAAAGAAGTATATACTTTTAATGACGTCGGTGACAAGGTATTAAGAGATATATCATCATCTTGTTTAACATTATCTGGGTCTGATAAAAGTTGTGGTCCGGCCTTACCCAGTATCGTATTTTTCATCGATTCTTCGTCACTCATGTTTTGGTATAAAACTTTGATCAAATTATGACGAAAACCCTCAAATGAAACGGAAGGAACACCGGATATCTTCGTCGTGAATGATTTGGGATCGAATAGCTTGTTAATGAGGGGAAGGGTTTTATCGTTAAGTTTTGGTTGGGTTTGGGATTCTAGGTCCTGGTTTAAATTATTATATATTTTAGAATATATCATTTACAGTTTGACCAAATGTTCAATATTGTAAATCACAGACAATTTGTACATACATAATATTTGGCATTTGTTAAATTAACAGATAATAAAAATAATGCATGAAAAGCTAAGTAAAATTACTTTTGAATGATGAAAATTATTTATTATTTCCTTTAAAAACAATTATCCTTCACAAAAAATGATAAGAAAGGATATAAAAACAAAGGATATATTTTGTCGAATATATGTTTTTTTAAACTTTATAGTTGTATCGCTTTAATAAATCTTCCAAAGATGTTTTTGATATGTGTGGTAAGGATAACAATTCTTTTTCGAAACTAGAGATCTAAAAATATTAAAATATCAAACAATATGCCTCTAAATTAGCATTAAATCCGGTTTGAATCAGATAAAAAATTAAATAATATTTCTGAAAAGATAAATAACTAATTCTGATAAAAAAAATGTAAAAGGGAAAGAAAATACTCCTAAATATCATATAAAACTGTTAAATTGAGCGATTATATCTTTTTCAAATTTAAATGATAATATACCTTTTCTGAAGAGATAATATGGGTAGCAATATTTGCTTTGTATACATCGTGTCCTTTGAGTCTTTGCCCAGTTAATCCTAGGTACAACCCTAAATTATGGGGAAGTTTGGGTAGGAAATAAGATGCCCCAACGTCGGGAAATAAGCCTATGAATTATAATAAAAGAAATAAGCCTGGCACATGAATTATAATATACTGTATAGCATACAGTTGTGTCAATATATTAAATAATTTGATCAAAATTATTAAATATCATTGTTTTTTATAAGTCAACCCTTAAATAAAATATTTTTTTAAAATAAAACAATGATTTAAATCAAATGTTTTTAATTCAATTAATAATAATCATAAAAAATTTATACCATTTGACACTTTACTACAAATACTTTTTGAATATTATTTATAGTTCTGGGATTATTCTATGCCAATCAAACTCACAGCATACACCTCTTTCGATAAAAGTTTGTAGACATTATGTCTTACATTTTAGTTAAGATTACAAACGAAATTTAGTTTGCATATGATTGGATACTAACTGTAAATATGTTCTGTTTCCATACACTAGATTTCTTTAGAACAAAATAATTATTTCTAAAATATTTAATATTTGTTTTACACTTTTTGCCTCTAGATCAGTGGAGTAAATGTAAAAGTATATTTATGAGTTAAAATATTTCTAAAATCAGAATTAATACTAATCTATTCTCATCTTAAACATATTTTATCCAGTATCTATAATTACACATGTAAACGTGCAATTAAAATAATTTTTCAATTGATACAGAGACCTATATTTTTTATAAGTTTAATTATTACTAAAAATTTTAAAATTTACTATATATATTTAAAGCAAAATGCGAAGATATTCCTCTATAATACGAATAATAATATGACATGAATGGTAATAAATTATTCATAAATCACCAAATTAAAAGTTCTGGTCATATATTAATTTTTTTAAAAAAATGATTATTTAAATACACTCTATACCTCTCTCATTTTAATATTCTTTATAATAAATTTAATTGTCCCCTCAAAATCTAAAAAAAAATCCCTCCAGAAAAAATTTACTTCCCTTATTTTTTTAACATCATTCCAAAGAAGAATTGGACAAGTCTATTGTCATAGATGGTACATGCCTAGAATTGTAATGCTACACTTGCGCCAAATGTAAAGTTTAAAATCAAATATAAGAAAATCTTATTCAAAAATTATTATTTTTCAATCTAGTTATATATATATTGGGAATAAATTAGTTATTATCCACTTCTAACCTAAAAATTTTGAAATGTCGAGTGGAGCACTCCAATTCTAGATCGACGAATATTTTGAGTGAGGAAAGATATTATTTTCTACGGTAATTTAATCGATCTATTATTTAAATAAAATGATGTTAACACCGACGCCTGAGCCCCTCCCCATTAAAAACCTAACAAAAATATGAAATATGAAAAATAAAAATGTAGAAGATAAAATACTCGATCAAAAATATAAAGAAATAAGGAAGATTTTGAAAAATAAAATTAAAATATTAAACATAAAATTTTAAATTTGACCGATTATTACATTATGTACTATTTGTGATAGAAAAAAAATTGGTTACTTTTTTTTATAGTACTGTAAACGTTACTACAAAAAAGAAACGCGTTACCGTTACTCGTTACCTTTTTAAAGGAACGCGCGTTACTGACTATTCAAAAAAGTAATGGGTTACTCGTTACTTAAAAAATTAAATATTATTCATAAGATATTTTTGTAATAATTTTTTTAATATTTTTAGCAACAATTGATTTCAAAATCTTGCTCGGATAAACAGGAGCACTTCTCAACACAACTTTCGCTAAGCTAAACACACATTTAATTGGCGCAGAGGATGGGAGATTTGAATAATATTTTATAAATAAAAATTTTAATTCGGGGAATTTATTTAAAATATTTAAAGAATTATTTTTTGAAAAAAGCTTAATAGATCATCTTTACAAGGATCTTCATTCATTTCCTCATCAAAAAAATATTTATATTTATAAGAAAATATTCTAGTATGTGTGCTGAATAAAGGAATTAAGTCTGCTCTTTCTTTAACAAGGTTTTTCTCAAATTGGAAATAGGTTCTAATATTCTTCCTTTGTTGAACTCTAATTTTAGCCCAATTCAATTTAAATAGCTGGTGAATTATTGCGGAATATATTATAGAGGTGTTTGAATCTATTGAAAATAAAAGATAATCAAAATATAAATTGTAAACAATATTTGAACTGTAAACATTTTATCTATGCCCAGGATTGAATTAATAAGCGGCTTACAAAACTTAAAATTATTTAATGCCATTTTTTAAAGTTTTAATATTATAATAGTTATGGTGGGAGTTAAATATCCCAAATGCATTTTTTCCCCCTCTCTAACCTATAAAATCATATACATATCATATTTTTTAATTAGCACTAACTAACCATACAATATTCATCCATGAATGACTTGTAGTTATCTGAAAATCTCTATAATTCAAATTTATTACGAGATTCGTTAAATTTTCAATTCCCCTTAATAAGACTATCTACAGACAATTTTTGGGATACACAATAAATCCACTAATTTCTTTGCCATGGTGTCATATGCTTTGTTATTTTTAATATGAGGGTAGGCCTAGGCGTCATATTTTTAATTGGCTGCAGAAGTGTTTTCTACAATTGAAAATGGTTGTATTTCTTCAATTCCAAAATTAAAAATGAATTCATCAACAGCTTTGTGATATTTTTATCTTTGATGTAGATGATTGGCTTCAATTTGTTTTATTACTATTCAAATGTTCAATAATCTCTTTCATTTTTGAGAAATATATAGTCTATTTTTAATTAAAATATTAATAATTCCTAAATTTTTTATTAAAAATAACTTCGTTTTTTCAATAATTGAAGATAAATCTTTTAAAAATTTAATTCCATTTTTTAATCCCTAGCCAAGGAAAATATTAAAAATTGAAATTATAATTGAGAAAGATAATTTTTCAAATTCATATCGTTTTCAGAATTATCATTTAAAAAGCAATCAGGAAAAATATCTACGTTCAGTTCGCTAAAACAATAGCTTCATATTTCTATTCATAATATATATTTATTTAATAATTATTTATTTAAGCAAAGTTTTTAAAATCACTATTTTATTCTTTAAATTTATTAACAATTTGAAGCTAACCCAATAGTAATAATAAAACAAGAAATAGAAGATATTGTTTAAATCTAATTTAATATTTTGAACCAATACCAAAATTTTGTTAATCTTGGGTTTTTAATGTTGGTTCCCAGCCCTATACTTTAAGCTTTTCAGTTTGAACTGCTGGACATTGAGGTTTTGAGTTAGGACATAATTTACATTTACAAAGTGTAGACTTTATACCCTTAATTTTCTTTATTGATGTAAAATATGTTTCAAATTGGGGCCAGGGAAGTGTTAAATCATCCTTCTGAAGAAGTATGCACTATGGACATAATTTCTTAAAATAAATTATAAAATAGGATAATAAGATTATTATTAATATTTACTTTGAATTTTGATTGAATATTAATTAAATTAACATTCGACTGAAAATTTAACACGAGAATTTAAAATAAAAATGAAGGAATGGTGGTTGATATGATTTAAAAACTCGGTTTTAAAAAATAAATAAAGGTTATTGTATAATAAAATATGTTTTTATTTTTTTATATTTTTTAAGAAAAAACTTAAAGTAACGAGTAGCGTTTTGAGTCAACGTTACTCAATAAAAAATAAACGCGTTAACGTTACCTCTATAAGAACGTAACGAATGGCGTTCCTTTTCTTCAAAAAAGGTAACGACGTTACTTTACAGCACTACTTTTTTATAGTATTTAACCTAAAATAAATCATTACTAAAAATGATGCAAAAATAGTTTTTGCCACGTCTGTTATTTAACTCGATTTGTATAGCTCTAATTATACCTATATATCGGTTTTATATTTCATGTATAGTTCACGTTTGATACTGTTAACTAAATTTTCTCCCTTGGAGGTTAAACGTTTACCTATGGCCTAGGTGTGAGCAGTGAGAGTATGTAAATTATACAGAGACCCATCCTCTGTATAATCATGCCAGTTTTTATTCAAGCAACAAACCTTGTAACTCCAATATATGTAAAAAGGTACTACCCATGCTAAATCAAATGTTGTAAAAGTATAAAGTAATAGCAGAAGAAGAAAATAGAGAAAAGTTTCCCAGAATGCTATCAGACTAGCTGAGAGAGAGCAAGATTATAAATTTTATTAAGGTTAAAAAAACACTTTATACTCTTACTTAGTTCAAATTCTTGGTAATAATTTAAAACTGTAAAAATATCTATAGAAAAATTTAATTTGTAGTGAGATTAAATATAATGAATTTGTAACTGTGATAATAAGAGTTAGGATTAACATTATAGTAAGATGTGAAAAATATCAAAATGAAACGTTTCTAAAATTTTATTGTAGCTATATTAGCAAGCATTTGTTCAAAATTAGTAAAATCATCTTAAATTCTCACCCATTAATATCTGTATTTTTGAAGAATTGCAAAATTATTTCTTTTAAGGTTTTAGTTATCTTTCCAAAGCAGCTCATTTTTATATAAGAGAAAGGATTTTATAGAGGTATCAGAAGCATGTAGTTTATTTATTGGTAAATCAAATTATTTGGTGATTGTTTCAGGAAACAATCTATTATTTATATTTTCCAATATCTTACCATTTGATAGATAGGGAGATTATTCGGGGTCAGCATTCAACTCAAATCATAAAATAATAATTATCAATCATGCCCTCATTACGATAGAGACAAGATTTTTAAGACTGGCAAAATCCAAACAGGATTCTTTCTTAAGTATAGAATCTAATGCAGAATTTTTAAAAAATATAACTTGTATGTACTCGTCTATAAAGGTTCGGCCATCATTCAAATCGAATCACTAATACTAATGTTATCTATAGCTTGCTACACATTTCCTTAATATAACATTCTGGGTGTCTATAATATAGCAATATATATTATTTTTATGATTAATTTTATATAAATAGTATCTCATTTTCTAATTGACAATTTAATTTCGTTTTTATAAATTTGATGTGATAAATAAAGTATTAATTGGGCACACACCATAGAGTAAGGATTAATCACTCACTTTACATCTTTCCTTTTATACCATAATTTATGATTATATTAATTATTTAAGATCTGAATTGAATGACATTTGGAGAACCTTAACATTGTCATTCCACACATGAGTTATCTTAGGATAGATAAGTCAATTTACCATGTATTATAAAATGAACTATAGTGAGTGTAAATCTCTCTAAAGTCAAAATTTTCAAAAAAGGTTAGAGACAAACCTTCATATCTCTTTAGGTATTGCTATAACAAACATAAATCCTGATGCCAGTAGGAAACCTTTCTTGAATTTATATAATAATCTTATTTTTATCCTAGTTAAATGCAATCTCCTCCCTGTTTATTAAATGGCAAAATATAGAAAAATTGACTTAAGGTAATCGCCAAAACTCTATATTATTTATATGCTACCTCTTTAAACCTCTTCCTTTTATATTAAATAAGATAGTTTGAAAAGATAACTTAAAAAGAAGGTTTTACTAAAGTTGAGAAGCTCCTGAAAATATTCTTTCCATCTATTCATTATTTCTTTTTCCTTTATTATCAATTTTCCATCTTTATTTTTGATTCAGTACGTGCTCTCCTTCATCATTTCTTTCTCCGTATCCAAAACCACCATGATGCCTTTTGTAGCTATCTCTTGCTTTCCCCACATGCGCATTTAAGTCACCACCAATTAAGGTCATCCTTAGGGATTTCCATTACAGCTTCATCAAGGATAGCTCTAAAGTAATCTTTCTCTTTTTCCTTGCAACCCGTTTGAGGAGCATATATTGAAAGGATGTGTAGTATTGATTGACCAATGCAGAGTTTTATCTTCATTAGTCTATCAGAGATCCTGTTGACTTCTACTACTGAGGAGGTTTGATCTTGACTGAGGATGATGCCGACACCATTTCTATTGCTAACAAGTCCATTATAGTACAATTTATACCCATCTCCAATCATCAAAGTCTTCTGTCCTTTCCATTTCGTCTCTTGTATGCACGCTATATCAACTTTTCTCTTGTTCAACATTGATGCCAATTCTCTCGTCTTACCTTTAAGCGTCCCAATATTCAAACTTGCCAGTCTTGTCTTCTTTGCTTTGACCTTTACTTTATTTTTCACAGGATGGAGGTCTACACCCTGCGCGTGGCATGGAGGGAACGCCTAGCTTTCATATTCATATTTCCATTTATTTCTACCATTTTGTTTATTGGACAGGTATCCTTAGCACCCCGCTGTCCAGGCCTGTCGGTGACCGGGGTGTCATCTCTAAGCTCCGAAATTCATCATACCATATGTCTTTACACATCAGTCATCGAAGAAAAACTTTGAAAGTTTTTTTTCCTTACCAGGATTGAACCTGTGTCTTTGTTCATACTCGTGTTTCCAATCGTACATCTTACCCATTAGGCAACCCCGGCAATTAAGATTTTACATAATATGATTTATTATAATTTAATACTTACTGATTTGTATAGATATGGTATTTTAATTATGCTTAAAAAGAAGCACAGAATAAACAATTACATTTTTTTTAAAAAATGCTTAATTTTATGTTAAAAACCTATGGCTGTTTCAGGCATCGCAAAATCTGTTTTTTCTGTTGCAATTCTATAGGCTCCAAGTAGAGACAATCCTACACCACCTCCCATTGTGATTCCATTAATCATAGCTATGTAAGGCTTTTTGTAACTTCCTTTTATATTTGAAATATCCATGTTAAAAAAGTCAAATTTTAAAATATAAATAATTGCACATTATATTACCTATTTTATGATTCATTAAATATTCTTCTCGGAAAAATGTTTCCCCAAGCTTAAAGTCATTCTTCTGGGCTGATTCCGTGACAGCTAACATTTTTTGGATAAAAAATATACACAAGATTATTATAAAACCTTTTACATCTCCACCAGCACAAAATGCTTTATTTCCCTCACCTTTAATATATACCATTTTTACTTGTGAATCTTTTTCCCATTCCTTTTTGACATTTAGCATTAATTTAAATGTGTAATATATACTAATAATTTAGGAAATATTTTTCTTATCATAGTAAGATCTATAGCATTTAAAACTTTTGGCTTGTTCAATGTAATAATGCCAACTCCATTTATTTTTTCAAATAAAACCGTCTCCAGCGAATCCGCCATCTTCTTCTAAAAGGCTACATTAATAAATGTATATTATATAATATTTAACAAAGTATCTAAAAGTTAAAGAAGGCATGAAATTTTAAAACGAAAATAGCGAATTCTCATAAATTTGGAAACAATTTGTAACTGTCACATATCATTTAGATTTGGCATAATATTTGACAGGTAGTATGATATGTGACTTTAGAGTGATTTAAAAGATATGTAAAAAGGTATCGCCCTCTCGTTGTGGATACAGCAAAGCTGCTATTTCCATCAAACTAGATAATAAAAATTAAGGCTTTTTAAGCGCTAGTTGACAAGCTGGAATGTACATGTTTAAACGTCTATAGACTGTTTTGGCAAAGGTATACCCGAGAATCGCACATATATTTAATTATTTAATGGAACAGGGAAGGGCGGATTTTAAATACCTATGGTAAATAAGTAAATTCTGTTTGTGTTGTGTTGATGTTAGTAACATCAATCAATAATGATTCAGTTATTGTCAATGGTTATTGTCTAGGTTTTTTTCAGTGCCATTGGTGCCATTTTAAAAAAGTTGAACTTTTTAAAAAAATACAAAATTTTAAAGTTGTTAGGAAAAAAATAAAAAATAAAATGCAGTTTAAAATATATACACTAATTATTTTTCTTTCCTATTCTAATTAAATATTAAAAATTGGTTGTTAGAATTTGTGCATTAAAACTGTTATATTACACTCAAATTTGCTTTTATATTTTAAACACTTATTATGGTGACCTTAAATAATTATTAATAATTCTAATTTTAAAAATTTATTGATAAATTTTTTGTAGAGATAACCAAAGAAATTTATTCGACTAATATAAATTTTAAAAGAAAAATTAATAAAAAGGAAAAATTATAAAATTATTTATTTGGTCTATTTTTTCCATATTTATAGAGTTTGTCACAAGAAGCAATTCTCATTTCCAAACACGTCGAATAGAGCCTCGATTTCCTCCAGAAATTAGAACGTGAAATCAGAGCATTCTATCCGACGATGAACGCACAAATAATCAATGCAAAGGTTGGAGTCAGCGTTTTTCTAATGGGAATAAACACCCATCAATCTGGGTATTGATTAAAAAAATGGAATGCGAGGTGGCTACCGATGATGAAACCAAACTTGAACGATGGCGTGTAGATAGTTGAACACCGAAAACATTTTTTTCCAATCTAGTTTATGTATTTTTTATGGTGGGTATATGAGTTATCTTTAAATAATGAATTAGGGCTTAAAAATTATTTTAGCTTATTAATATATTATATTTTAATTATATTATTATCTAAATTACTAATTTGTCTATACATTATAGATATGAGTAAATCCATTATATTCCAAATAAAAATATACCTATATTATTAGGTCTTGAGTAAATTCTATGTATATAAAAAAAAATCTGGAGGTTTTTTTCCTGAGTTTTTTTCCGGGTGTTTTTTTCCGGGATTCGATCTTTAAGTATCAGTGAATTATAAATATTTGAGGAATATTTATTATTATTTTTTTGGAATTTACAAAAGTATGTGTGTTTATTTACAACCCAGTGAAAATAAAACGCTAATGTCTAGAAAACTATTTGAAAGGAGAAAGATATTAACACGTTTTTCTATAGTAAAAATTTAAAATTCCTTGAGGTATTTATATGCCCCAGTAAATCACTCAAAGGTTAGACATAAGGTAAACCAAACGATTAATAACACTCATAGCGTAGACCATGGGACGTCGTAGGAACGTTTTTCCTTCAAAAAGCCAGTTTTCTTAAATATTATTTTAAGGTAATAATAAATCTCCCCCATACACCCCTCTCCCTCCTACCAATTTTTTTTATAAAAGTGATGTAAAATTTTTTGAAAAAACTAAATCTTTCATGTTTGCCCTTTCTTTAGTAAATTGAATACGTTCGCTTGAAAATTCGTTTACACAAAACAAGAACAAGTTCAAATTCGTGAACGCATTTGACTTACATATCCAAAAATATATTTTTTTAAAAGCATTTAATTTAATATTTAAATGTATAATAAAATAACACCATATTAACAACTTAGTATTATATTGTAATAGAAAATAATTTATAAAATCTTAACCAAAAAGCAATTAAATAACATACATAATGGTGTAACATAGACAATGTTTAGAAAATATAATTAGTGTCACTAGGAGGGAGTAGGGGCTCGAGTTACCTAAAATTAGCTTAAAAAGACACCGCTCCTGGAAAATATAATTATAAGAGGTGGGCGGCCTGAAATTACTCATGACACGATATATCATAGTGGGTCACGGCGCAAGTGTAACTAAATTTGAAATTATTAAGCATGACTAGGCGTGACTAGGCGTGACGGACTTTCCCTTTTTGCTGGGCGTGATGGGGCCTGAACATAGATTTCCCATGAATCATGGAAATTTTTATTTTAAAATTAGTTTTTTATAAATATAAATTTGCAGTTTTATAATTATAATATATATTTTCTAATTTAATTTAACCCTTTTTAAAAAGAATAATTTTTGAAAACAAAAAACTTCCACATTTTATAAACTATTTTTATTTTCCGTCTTATAAAATTTCAAATGAATGAAAAATAGTAAATCTCTAAAACTAAAATACATTTAATTTAAAATGTTTTCTTTTCATTTCTTTTTATTAAAATTATCAATATTTAGAGAATGCTCGGATAATCTGAGCCCAGATTCTCTTCCCACAATAAATGAAATTTATATATGGAAACAAAAATTAGTAAAATTTTGTCACTTTCTTAAGGTGATATAATAGTAATCAAAACCCTAAAATATACCACATATCTTTTAAAGGTAATATTTATTATGCATTTCAAAAGTCTTTCGTTTTTAATAGATGAAGAAAAGGAAGAGATATAAAAAGTAACCTAATGCCAAATGTTATAAAGTTAGATGATATGCATAAGTCAATGCCAACTATCATTTATAACTTTTCTAATTCATCCTGCACACACAAAAACCCCTATATTTGATGAAGCACCAATATCTACCGATTAAAGTTGTGAGGATGAAAACTTAAACAAATCATGACTCATAAAACAATGACAATATTTTGAAGTTTTGGATGCAGGAAAATTCATTTCTTTTTTGAGAAAATTAGCTAGTAACATTTGTCAGCCCGGGCAAGTTCAACTTCTAGTTAAAAGTTAATTTCTAGAGTCAATCGCTTTTTAGAGAAAAGGTGAACACATAAATAAAAAATATGTATCTTTTTCCTTTCTAAATAAAAATTTTGATTTATAAATTTAAATTATTTTGTTATTAATTTGGAATTAGAAAAATAAAAATTTTGATTTATAAATTTTAATCATTTTATTATTAATATGGAATTAGAAAAATAAAAACAATTATTGAATAAATTCGTAAAAGTATAGCAATAAAGTTTTAAATTTAAAAACACCGTAAATTTTTAAGCGTGACGGGTGTGATTAATATATTTTCTGTCATGAGCCGGTGGGTCGGGTCAAAATTTTTTAGTAGTAAGCGTGAAAGGGCATTAATTTTTTTATTGCCATGAATGGGCGGTCCATGAATAAAAAAAGAGACCCGCGTCCACCTCTAATGATTAGGTAAAATTAATATTGCGCTTTCATAATATTTTTATATTGATATCTATTAATTGAAATATCCCATCATATTTAAAAATGTGCACGAAATAATCCTAAAAAATCAACGAATAAAAATTAAAATTAAGTATTATTGTTGACCTTAGCTTTCGATTTTGGTTCTTTCGAATACTTGGCAAACTTCAGGACTAAGATTAAGTCTGAATATAAGATATTAATTTATATCAAATATTAAAATATAACTCGATTCAAAATATAAGGAGATTTTAAAAATTTACTTCTACACAAATAATTCTATAAAGATTGTTGAATAATTTAAGTAAGGAAAAAGGAAACCTTAAAATATTTAGATATATTTAATTTTTGAATAGCAATTTAAATACGGATAATTATTGTTTTTACTTCGTTTATAACCGATTTATGTTTATTGACTGGAACTGATTAATAATATATATTGGCACACTCAAATATTTAATGGTTCTATAATTTTCGTTTCGGCAATATGCCAATCTTTGCAATTGTTACTTATTAGGAAATAATGCGTTTTTCTTTAAACTATCTACCAAAAAAGTTGAAGCATAAAAAACACTTGGCACACATTTCATAGTTATTGGTTCTAGAAGTGCGGATTTTATTCTTGAGGCATGATATTATATTTTATATTTGACTTATAATTTGCTTACGCTATAGTAATAGGTGAGATTGATTGACAATATATTTAATAAGAAAGACAGTAAATATTAGAGCAAAACAGATAATTAGAACTTCTATATTTTCCGTTGTGTTTATGATGCCACTTTTGGCAATTTTTTCCATATTTTAAAATAATTTCTCTCCCCTTTAAATCATCTCAAGCAGATTATAGCAATAAAATTCTAATTAAGCATACGTTAGGGTTTAGTATGACTAAAGAGTTTTGGTGTTTCTGAAAGCTTGCATTTAATGTTTAAAGCGTGACATCCTGGTTTGTATTTTGTTTTAACTGAATTCCTCATTTGTGGTTCGCAAAACTGATTGAGGAATTATAGTCAGGCCATAAATATTAGCGCAAATAATCTATTTTGTTCTATATTTTCTATTCTTACATATGCCAGTTTTAGCAATTGTTCTTCTCTTTTAAAATACCGTATACCAAACAGTTTAATAAAAGTACTAAACATTGATAAAATTTTCAGAATAAATGCTTTCAATCGCTTCTTAATATTAAGGTTGACTAATATTTTATTTTGTTAGGATTAATTTTTTCATTTATACTGCCCATTACATTGATTGAAGCACTTATAGTCATTAATAAAATGCAAAACATTGGAACAGGTTTTAGAATTAGTGTCTCCCAATTGTACAGCTAACTTAAAAGAGATGATACAAAGATATTAAATATTTTGAAAAAGCAAAATAAAACTAATCGCGGGAAAATCAAAAATATCTGGTCCGAATTCTTTTAGGCAGGATACAGCCGAAAGTCTAACCAGGTCAAAGGCAGGGTAAATAAATAATTGGGAGCGAAGTCCCTAAGAAAAAAAATACCTTAGAAATATTTTGGCTATGCCAATGGACATTTAAATTTTACATATGTAAATTT